TCTTCCCTTYCCTTCTCTCTTTGCTCCCAGTTCATGACCTGCAGGGTGCACTCAGAGACACTTCTGTTCCACACCAGGTGCAGTAGTTGACCAAGAGGCGCTGGTGGCAGCTCTGCAGACCGGCGTTATCAGGGCCGCGGCTTTGGATGTCACCTACCCAGAACCACTGCCCAGGTTGCCATCTCTGCTTATTTCTCGGGAAGGATGGGTGACCCTGCCAGGGTCAGAGATATATATCCCTGCAGCAGTCAGAAAGCTGGCCGGGGCAGCCCCCCTGCCCCTGGCATGGGAGTTGGCACAAAAGTGCCACGAATACGAATAGGATGCAAGCCTAACAGACCAAAGGGAAGCCTGGGAGCCAGGAAACTGCAGGTGGCAGGGAAAGCATTAAACTCYGTGCTTAGAATCACCCGTGAAGCTGCAGCAGTGCTTCACTTGCAAATTACTTTATTAGAAAGTGCAGCTTGCTTTTAAATGGGTGGAAGCTCCTTGAGGCCTAAGACCTGCTGCATAGCCCCGAGGTGTCCTTTCCCACAGGCTTCTTTCCTCATACAAGGCAGAAGTACTGCAGACTCTTGGGCCCCGAGGGTGTTGAGCTTCTGTAAAAAGCTCCTGTTAAAAGACCCCTCTACCCGGATAGTGCCTTTTGGAGTTAACTGCTGGCTGCATTTTGTGCTGGGGGAAGTTTGGTCTCCTCATGCCTGTGTGCAAATAGCTCAGACTATTGTGTAGGGTGAATGTGTCAGGAAGGCTTAATCCTCTCTTCTGACATAGTTCAAATTGCTGCCTAATGGCACAAATGTGTTTCTGGGAAAAGAGCACACTACTGAGTCTTTCTATGTCCTATTAGGGTCCAAAATTACTTCAACACAGGTGATCAGGTTCTGTGGGTCTAAGTGGGACTTGTAAAGTTAAACAAATTAACTATAAGTGCAGTGCAAAAGCTGAAGTGGGATTCCACTGTATTTGGATGAACAACAGTAGGTAACTCTTTTTTTCTTTTCTTCCAGAGATCATCCATTGTTAAAATTAAAGAACATCATTATAACACCTCACCTGGGTATTAAAACAGACAAGACCAACTACATGATAACAGAGGAAGCAGTTGAAAACATACTAGCAGCTCTGAATGGTTTCCCCCTACCCAGTGAAGTGCTCCCTAGCTGATATGTTAAAGGGTATCACATATCTTTTTATTGTTATCTCTTTGCCTACATCAGCTCTAAAGATCATTTTRAATAGAAGGATGTCCATCCACCTCACTAAAGCTTGGAAAGAAATGGTTTGTCATCTCAGTTGTGATTATGCATTTTCTGTTGTCTAATACAAGTCAAAAAGGCAAATAAACTGACACAAGAAGGGGCAGTGCTGTACCTTTTATTATGTAGCATGGCTTTATGAACAGTATGATTATTTAATCTATCAGTAAAGTTTATAGCAAAGTTGCCACTAAGTGCAGCTAGGATTTTGCCTAGAGYCTCATGCATCTTTACAGAGCCATCTCCACTGCCTTTGTCTTGCAGATGGTTATCACAGTGCTTGCCAAAATACACTTCCTCCCCCCAGTTTAATGTATGATGATGTTGCCAACTCCAGGAAACAAGACATTGGAGCTTTTCAGGTACAGTGAGTTGGCTGTCAGGAATTTCAAGACTGCCTCAGGTACCTCCCTGGTCTGTGAGGTTCCAGTGCCCAGGACACCTTTCATTGTCACCTGTATAACCTTGAAAAAATAATTTACATTTCATTAAAAATAAAAGGCTAAGCAATAAATTACAGAGCTGAAAAACAAGGTTACGACAAAATAAAATAGAAGAGAGGAAAAAAATACCCTTTCTTAGGGTATCAATATCCTAAAATATCCTAAAACTGAAAAAAAAGCCACACAAGGTTTTGCACATGCAAACATTTCTCCAGACGTGAAGAAGCAAACAAAATCAGATGCAGAACTTSATTTCACTTCTGTTTAAAGCAATTGACCAAGTTTGGCATTTGCTTGGAGCTTTAGTGCTACTTTTGCAGATGTTTGAAGAATCTGGGCTGATCAGTTTCAGAAGTGTTCCCTACCAGTGGGGCGCTTTAGAGGGGAAGACACAGCTGCCTGCCAATCACTGGAATGATGGGTTGACTCATACACAATACATTCAATTTCATGATAAATTGAATGTAAATTGCTAAAAGTGGATCCAAAAAATGCAGTGGGAACGTGAGCGAAGAGATGATCCATTATCATTCATTTTCCATTGATCCAGATTTTAAAAAATACTTTGGTGGACAAAAAGTATACAAKCTGGAATAAAGTGCTGCTACAGTAGCCTACTGGGAAAGCTGGCCTTACCCACAGCAAGCAGTCAGGCAAGTGATAACATTTTCTAATGGTTCATAGTCAGTGAAAATAAATGCATCACTTGGCTTGGCCTTGCCTGAAACAAGAGCTCATGAAGAGAGATTTCCTGCCTCAGCTTTCTTCTTGTAATCCCATGTAAAACTGCCTTACAACACATAATGTAGACATAGGAAACATRCGTCCTTATCCAGCTTCATGCTCAAGCTAGTCAGTACATCCCACCTGGGGAATGTATACATTAAATTATACAAAAATATTTTAGGGTAATATAGTACTTCAAAAGCTGAATCTTAAGAAGCAATTATTACACAAGCACCCTATTACCACTGCAGGCATCAGCTTGCCCTGCAGGATTACATGGACACCAATGGTAATATTTAACGATGGGGATGAAGTCCACAGACTATGCAATACTTGTGTCTACATACCCACAGACCTTACTAATTTCAGAGTGCTCTGTACAATGCAAGTATATCAGATCCCTTTCCGTAAGAGAAAACCTGCACACCACAATGATGTACACACACTGTAGTTYACCTTAACACACTACTTGGAGGTCTTTCAGGTACTCTACACACTAAATTTGCTTAGAATGTGACAGTGYGCTGATGCAACTGACTTCTTCTGTCACATATGTTGTTTTACAAATATATCTTCTTTAGAGATGTATCAGCTTCTGTACTACAGCTTGAAAATTGCATGTTTAAGTTGCACAAAAAAAACTTGGATGCCATCTGATTCTCTCCACATCTAATAACATAAAATATCCATTTTCCTGACATTTGATATGTATGTCCTGGATTTTTGCTCAGACTAACATTCCTTTGACTGGTTTTTTTTTTGGGTTTTTTTTTTTTTTTTTTTTCTTTTTTTTTTTTTTTTGGTTTCTCTGACTAATTCCTCCTTCCTTTTGTTCATTCAAAATTGTGGATTTGATATACGAAGGGAAAATCTACTGTGTTGCCCTTCCAAAGGTTTTTCTTTACTTTCAAGACTATAATGTGATAGGCCTCCTTCCTCAGTTCATACGGAGAATGACTTGGATCTTTGAGAGGGACTTAACATTGGTCCTTTGATCTCAGGTGAGCAGTAATTTAAAAGATTATTCATTACATCTTACCAGCAAAGCAGTTTGGATACTTCTTACTGAAACAGATAATCTGTAATCATTTTGGGCTTGTTGGGGAGGGGTTTAAGGAAAAAAGATCCCTGATGTGGTAGGCCTCCTTCCTCAGTTCAAGGGAGAATGACTTGGGTCTTTGATAGGGACTTAACATTGGTCCTTTGATCTCAGGTGAGCAGTAATTTAAAAGATTATTCATTACATCTTACCAGCAAAGCAGTTTGGATAGTTCTTATTGAAACAGATAATCTGTAATCATTTTAGGCTTGTTGGGGAGGGGTTTAAGGAAGAAAGATTCCTGATGTCCACAGCAGTGTCCTTGCTCCTGACCTGCTCTCACAACGGAAGCCAGGCATCCTCCCCAGTGGATTCTGACTACGTGCACAGCAAGGGGAATCACTTCAGCGCAGCCTTTGTGAACTTAGTGCTGAAGCTGTTCTTCCCAGTCCCTATTACTGGGGATGGGGGTCAAGGGGATTCTCTACTCTGCTCTTGTGAGATCCCGCCTGGAATGCTGCATCCAGCTCTGGGGTCCTCAGCACAAGAGACATTTGTTGAAGTGTGTCCAGGGAAGGCCACTAAGTTGATCACAGGACTGGAGCACTTCTACAAAGACAGAATAGAAGTKTTGGAGTTGTTCAGCCTGGAGAAGAGAAGGCTCCAAGACCTTATAGCACCTTCCAGTACCTCAGTGGGGACTATAAGAGAGCTGGAGAGGAACATTTCACAAGTAGTGACARGGCAAAGGGAAATGGCCTTGAGCTGAAGGAGTGTAGGTTTAGATTAGGTAGTAGGAAGTGATTGTCCTCTCTGGGGATGGTGAGGCACTGGCATGGGTTGCCCAGAGAAGCTGTGGACGCCCCATCCCTGGAAATGTCCAAGACCAGGTTGGATGGGGCTCTGAGTYACCTGGTCTAGTGAAAGGTGTCCCTGCCCATGGCAAGGGGGTTGGAAATAAATGGCCTTKAAGGTCTCTTCCAACTGAAACCATTCTGTGACTATGATACAGACCAAGTAATAACTTTGTCAGGAAAATTCTCACACATTTTTCAGCTGAAATTGGTGCAGGACTGCCTGTACCTGGGATAACATCTCAAGTGTCCAAACACCTGAGTCTGCTCCGGTTGCTTAGTCCTCAATGAGAGTTTTTGAAGGTTATCCTAGAATCATATAGGTTGGAAGAGACCTTCATGTGTGCAGTGAGAGCTGTCASTGGTGTCTGCCGGTCAGAGACAACTCTTCATGTTATGTTAACTCACGTGCACATGGTGTTAGGACCAACAGAAAGACCAGACAACGACCAGTCTTCAAAGACAGTACAGAAAAAACTGCAGGATRTTAATGCAAAATCCCGATTACACTGAAATCACAGAAACACTTCAACAAAAACACACAATCCGTGCCAGCTGCCGTTGCTCTCGCTCGGCTCCAGGAAGGATTGGGGGGCACGTCCCGTGTCCTAGCACCTCCTCTCCTCCCCACTGGCCCCGCCACGGCCCGGGCGGGGTGCGGGTGGCAGAGCAGTGCCCGCCTCGGCGGCCGGTCCCGCTCCACCCCCGCGGTCCGGTGSCAGCGGCGAGCGCGGCCGGCGGGGTGAGTGCGAGCGGCACCGCGGGACCCTGAGCGCACCGGGACCGCCTCTGCCTGGCGGCGGACAGGGGACCCCGAGCCCCGGGGCCGCGGCTCGGGTGGGTAGCGCCGGGCTTGTGGGGCACGGGGCTCTGGCGGTCCTGGCAGCGGGAGGCGGCTCGCCCGTTCCCAGGGCCCTTGAGGGCCGGGCAGAGCCCTGCAGCCGCCGCTCCAGCTCCCTCCTATCTTTAATCCCAGCTGCAGGCGCGCCGGGACGGCTGCAAACGCCTCAAGCCGGGACTCAGCCTGCGCTGGGCAGGGAGAGCTCTCCGGGACACAGAGCTCCGGAGGTGGTCGGGAAGGAGAGGCGGGCGCCMGCCCGGCGSTGCGGGAGCGGTGCGGGGACATTGCCTCGGGCTGAAGGGCAGCCTGGGGGACGCCCGGCTTTAACCCGAGATCACAACTTTGGCKCTTTGCAGTCAGCAGAGTTAAGAGTTGGCAAAGCACTGGAGACCGAAAAAAAAAGGGTAAACTTAAATTAATGGGTAATTCCAAAGTTCATAGTTGAAAAATTATAGCTCTGTTACATTAAATTATATTTTTACTGATATAATCTYATCAATGATAATTGCTAAATGTAATTGCAGAAGTGGCAGAACTTGCTGGCTAAAAGATACCCTTCCACTCACATGGGCACATTCTTAAATTATCAAGATCTTGGCTCTAAATATTGAACAGTGAACAGTGAACTGATCATTTGTTTAAGTGTTAACATAGTTCGTATGCCACAAAGGATGTTTTCTTACTAAGATTATATCGAAATTGAACATCCTTCTGAATAACACTGGGAGAACACAAAAGAGTTCTGCACGTCTGCAYGTGGCAGTGGTTATCTTTAGCCAGCTCTTCCATCAAGTGAGAAAACAGCGTGTAATTGAGCCAATCAATTTAAAGTTTTTAGAAAAAAAGGTAAAATGGATCACATCACACAATGTCTTTTTGGCTCTCTTTGCATTTGTAGAGCATGGAGGGTCAGGAACTGCCTTATGTGCTAATTGACTGCATAGGAGAGAGACATGGAGTATATGAACACCATGTTGGATTTCTGAAGAAACGTTTTCATCTCATCACCATGAAAGAATATCTRAAAAACAAGGCATTTCTTAGCAAAAAGATCAGTGCTATCTACATGTGGTATCACAAACCAGCTATTCATGAAGAGCTGCTCCAGAGCTTGCCTAACTTGAAGGTAGTTGCAAGTTCTGGAGTGGGAATAGATCACTTGGACCTGAAACTCCTCTCCAGCTATGGTGTGAAGGTGTCCAATACTCCATTTATTGTTTCCACTGACACTGCAGACTTGGGCATGGCTTTGATGTTGGCATCTTCCAGGAGACTTGTGGAAGGTAATAACTGAAATGGTCTTAATCTTCTCATAGAAAAGATGACTTCAAAACATGCAGAAAATCTGCTGATGCAAAAGTGAGCTTAAAACTAGAAATATGGAAAACAGGGGACAAGGAAGAAGGTAAGATAAATCTSTCTTGTTGACAATAACTTCCATGCCATTTCCAAACTGGTGTATTGGCAAGGTAGAGTTGTTCCTTCTTTGGACAACCCTAAATTCAGGCCTGTCCTGCAGTTAATAATGACTCAGATGCACAGCAGCTTGGCAAAGACAGACTTCAAGCCTCCTTGAAAATATTTCCTTTTAACCCCTTACTGCTGCTTTGGCCTTTCCTTCCTTGCCTCCTTGCCTGCCAAAGAGAAGCTGGGTGTGTTTCTCTCCTGAGCAAGAAATCAATGTCAGCAGTCATGTGTGCAGTGCAACATTATTAACTTACTGTCCAGAAATATGATGACAGTATATTGTTTGCTCCTGTGCTCCTATCTTGYCCTGTGGTAAAAGGTGGGGAAAAAAATAAAAAAAAAAAAAAAAGTAGCCAGTTACTGGAACATCCTTTATATAACATTATTTTCCTTTTCCTCCTCCAAGGACATGAGATGGCAGTCTCCCCTGACACAGAGTATTTCCCTGCTGACTGGCTGGGAGCAGAGGTTTCTGGAGCAACCCTGGGGATTGTGGGAATGGGCACGATTGGGTACAAAGTGGCTGAAAGAGCCAAAGCCTTTGAAATGAAGATATTGTATCACAACAGAAGTCAGAGGTAAAGCTGGTAGCAGCTCCATGGCAACTCTACTTTTTCACTGCTTTTATGTGTTATTTGTGCTTTTCACTGTGCTTTCCCTTTTTATGGTGCTCTTTATTTTAAGTGACTAAGTATATACTCTTGTTGCAAGATGGTCATTAATTGCCCAATTTATACAGAAACCAAGTCAAGAAGGAATGGGAGAGCTAYATCTCGCTGTTCTTCCTGTTAGTCAGGGCTTAAGAGTTCTTCCTGTCATGGTGGTGACATTGTAATGGAGGAAAGGAGAAAACTGGGGGGACTTAAATCCTGTGACATAGGTGAGGCAGAGATTCAGGCAGAGATATCTCACCCTTCCAGAGCCACGTGACAATAGAGGGCTGGACTTTCCAGTCTGTTTGCTGTCTCCTAAATGAGGTAGACATGCCCCGTGCTCCCATCAGGCCCATGACATCTTTTTCTTTTGTGGGAACTTGATTAGAGCCAGACAATACATACCCCAGCGTTGTCCTGATACAGATAGAGTGCACCAGCAGGTCCTGCAGCGTGTTTTCAGTGAATCAGCACTGATACACAGAGCAATCAGGCTGTTGCTGACATAGACTTGACTTGGGAAGATTTAACCCCTGCCCTGTCTTGTGTATTTCCTCAGTAATTTTCACGTGACATCATCTTACTCAAATTACTTAATTTCCACAAGACATCAGTGTTGCTTTTGGGTMGGAAAAGAATCCCCATTACAAGCAGAAGTTGTAGCACAAATGCATTTGCTTTATMATTTATTCAGTGCATTTACGTGATACCCATTTCTTACTTTCCATCCCCAGAGGTGCAGTACTGCACTTTAGTATACAGTTCACTTGGTATTGTGGGAAACAGTTTGACATTTGTCTTCACTGAGTTTCRGTCAGATAACCAACTAACTGCTTTGCACTACACAGCAAAGATAGCAATAAGGAACCATCTTCTCTACTGGTGATTTGATCTTTCTCTTGTTTCTTGCTACTGCAGTTTAATTTTGGGATTTTCCCTTCAGAGACAAGGAAGAAGAAAGTGCCGTTGGAGCCGTTTACTGTAAGAAGATAGATGATTTGCTCCAGCAGTCAGATTTTGTGTTGCTGTCTGTGAACCTAACTCCACAGACATCCAAACTGATTGGGAAGAGGGAGCTGGAGCTGATGAAACCCACTGCTACTCTCATTAATATCAGCAGAGGTAAGGTGCAGAGTAAACAAAAGTGCATTAAGGTTTATTGACATGACAAGTCCTGGGAAAACCTCTAATAGACAGTCTGTCCCTCTGAAATTTCCCATAAATTCTCTGATTACTAGTTTATTTAGACTCCTGAGGTCATATCTCAGTAAAACCTACAGGTGTTCCCATAATAATGAGAAAGTAGGTYTCTGGAATTTTAGTGAGCTTGGAGTGCTGGAAGCCCACGTGTGTTTATATAATCTCCTACTTAAGCCTTTTACTCATTTAATGCAGCGTGGTTGCTAACATACATTAGGGTGGCATAGCCTATTCTGAAGCCTAGTGAATTCCCTGATGCAGGTACCCAAGCTTCCCCCTCCCACTCCACCACACTCTGCTGCTGCTTCTGCACTGTGACCATGGCCTGCTCTGCTGTTTGCCTGACCACAGTGCCCAAAAGAATGCTGAGAGAACATATGGAACATGAAAATAAACATATCCTTCTTACTGTGACACAGGTCTGGTAGTGGATCAGGATGCATTGGTGGAAGCCCTTCAAAACAAAGTTATTAAGGCAGCTGCTCTGGATGTGACATATCCTGAACCTTTGCCAAGGTAGGACATGTATTTAGGTTAATTATAAAAGAATGTATGTGTGATCTTCAAGCTGAGTAAAATTTTGTGAGCATGTGACAAGTTGCATCGTTTTGTTAGGAGTACACGATTTGTGTGCACTAGTCCTGCTTAAACCATGTCCCTAATCCTGTTCCAGCCAAAAGAAAATTCACACTCACTCATTTGGAGGATTTGTTGCGTAAAACCCCACCAAGCTAGGCAGCACTTTGAACTGCTCTGAGTATGCTCAGGTCATGCAATTAGGTTTTTTTTTTTATTTTTAATTATTATTTTATGTATTTCCCTGGCTGGCTGCAGGTGATTAAATAATAGATGAATGTGTGGTGAGTGACTAGCTCAGTATTTCTTTTTCTCTTCCAGGGATCACCCCTTGTTAAAGCTGAAGAATGTTATAATAACTCCTCACATCGGAAGTGCCACCAGGAAGACACGCTGGGTTATGATGGAACAAATGGCAGAAAGCATAGAAGCGGGCCTGGCGGGTCTTCCTATCCCTCGTGAGGTGCTGCCCTAATGCAGCTTGCACTTAATGTTAATGCCATCAGTGTGGAAACAGTAATTTGATCATTTTCGTGTAATTATCCCACAAGTGGTATTCAGATAAAATATATAAAGCACGGGTTTATTTAAATTKATTTCAATAGCCAGCAGCGATTCTCTGTGGAAAATTGCAGTATTTTGTCTTKGTCTTCAATGGAAAACTCGAGAGCACAAAGTCATGCCTCAGTGTCATTTCTTTTTCTCGCATCCCCTCACAATTGCCCAGCGATGCAGCAGCGAATTGAAGACATATAAATCGTATCGTGGAGGAGCCACCTGGCACAGCCACAAAGGCAGCCAGCCTGTGGGARCGGCTACTCCCACCGCTCCAGCAGCAATCCCGACGCTTTCCCTTCGCCCGGGCCGAAAGTCGAGGCTGTGTGTGTGAGAGCCTAGCCCAGCATTAAGGGCGGCTCGGCCCCTCTCCCTCCTTCCCTCTCCCTCATCCCTCTCTCCGCGCCCGGCGGGCCTCCGTGCCGACAGGGGGAGCCGCAGCCGGAGCCGAGGGGGAGCTCTTCGGGCCGTGCCGTGCCGGGCCGGGCTGGGCCGTGCCGTGCCGGGCTGTGCCGTGCCGTGCCGGGCTGTGCCGTGCCGGGCTGTGCCGTGCCGGGGGCCAGGGTAGCGATGTTGGCCGCCCGAGGGGCCGCGGTGGTGCCGCGGTGGTCCCGGGCTCTGCGCAGCTCGGCCGCCCTGGGCGGCTCCAGGAACCTGCTGCGGAAAATGCTCCGCAAGAACAAGTAGGTGCGGGGCCTTCTCCGGGTGCGGGGCCTTCTCCGGGTGCGGGGCAACCCGGGACAAGGGGATAAGAGGGGCTGTGGGGTTTGGGGCCCCGGTAGCGCGGAGGAGAGACACCGACCCCGAGCTGCCGCACGGGCAGCGCCTCCAGAGCCGTGCGGCTCTTGTGGCCAGGGCGTTTCGGTGTTGTCGTGCCGASTGACCACCGATGTCAGCTGGTCGGCAGCGGCAGGCAGGTGGTCACGAAGGCCACCCTAACCCTGGCCTATATCAGCAATTGTGTGTCCTGCAGGACCGGGGCAGYGATTGYSCCTCAGCACTGGTGAGCCCACMACCTCGASTGCTRTGTYCATTTCTGGATCTCTCAGTACAGGAAAGGCATTGAGGTGTTGGAGCGTGTCCAGAGAAGGTCAGCGGTGAAGGATCTGGAGCAGAAGTCCTATGAGGAGTGGYYGAGGGAGATGGGGRTGTTTAGTCTGCAGAAAAKGAGGCTCTGGCTGSMCCTTATCACTCTCTACAGCTGCCTGAAAGRAGGATGTAGCCAGTTGGGAGTCAGTCTCTTCTCCCGGGTGACTAGTGACAGAACAAGAGGAAATGTCCTCGAGCTAAACTAAGGGAGATTTAGAKTGGATATTGGGAGGAATTTCTTCACTGAAAGTGAAGAACGGTCAAGTGATCCTGAAGAACAGGATCCCCAGGAAAGTGWAATAAATCACTGTCCCTGGAAGTGTTCAGAAAATGCATACAAGTGGTGTTTACAGACACGGTTTAGTGCTGGATTTGGCAGTACYGGGTTAAGAGTGGGATGATCTTAGCTGTATTTTCCAAACTTAATGATTCTRTGCAKMTAAAGAAGCCTCAGAGCTGTTGTTTTCCACCCCTTGCTGTCTATGTACAGCATCAGTTGTGGATGGGAAGCACTGTTCCCCACACCCCAGCTGTAGGGAGATCTACTTACGTGAGAACCTGGGTGTTGTGGTGTGCTTTAGGGCAGGTGGAATATTAMTTACACAGGGAATCAATCCTTGTTYGTCTTAGCTGCTGAAAGGCTGATTTCCTTTCCTTTTCCCAAAAGAAAGAAGTTCTGGTATGACAGCCCTACCCTGGGATCACAAACGGTAAGTCCAAGCTCTTAAGGCCATTTGTTTATCTGTGCCAGGAGGAACAAACGTGTGCTTCTGCCATGGATTCTAACTTTGGGAGAAGCATTTTCTGATGGAGAGATAGCAGGATTTTGTGAACAAGCAGTAGGGCTYCAGTTTGACTGTTTAATGCCAGGAYAGACATCRAGAGAAGTCATTTGGCTCYCCATGGCTGKTTCCTCTTCTGTGCAGWTCTTTCATCTTTGTCAGCRTCAATGCTCTTTTGCATTCCTGAGTACTGATCCAGATTAAAACTTCTACGAGCTTKGTTTAATGAGGTTTATTTTTATGTTTGTTTTTTCAGACAAGCAAAGCTTTTCAGTCAGTATAAGGTGTATTTGAGAAAACAGACCCATGGAGCTTCATAACTTGCTACAAAAYACAAAAGAAATTTGAGAAAGTTTGACTATACTACACGAAGGTCAAATATTTTGTGAACAGAAATATTCTTTATTGAAACACTTGATACACAGGACTTATATAAAGTCATCACAGCGTCAATAATTACATAAGAGCAAACCTAGTAAAGTGCATGAAACTGTATATAATTGCTTAATACAAGTGTGTAACTACTGATTAATGTGTTGTTTGTTTCTTTTTAAAGTTTTATAAACCAGCCAAGTTGGACTTTTTAATGAAAAATGACCTGACAAAATCAAGGAAAGAAGATAACATGCGCTGCAGRGTCTTGAATGGTCTTATTCATAAAGCTGTGTTAGAGATGGCGACTACCTGTGAAGTCAGTCAAGAATTTTATGATCTCAAGCTGGAAATCAGCAAGGCAAGTGCCAAAGCTGCCGCTTGTGCTGAGCCACTCTGATGGTGCTGTAAGGTTGGCATGGAGATGCCGAAGGAGCCCCCCTGGATGTTGTGATGTGTGCAAGAGGAGTTTTACTGCATTGCTTCTGATGCAGCAGAGTGTAGCAAGCTCAGGCTCTGAAGTACACACTAGGAGAGCTTTGCCACTGTTGTACCTGGTTTAGGAGACCTTTGCCACTCTAACACAAATGCAACTTAAGCCAACTAAATGGTAATTCTCCTGGTATGACTTACCTTTTTCTCTTACTCAGACATAAACTCTGCCTTGCCCTTTCAAAAGGAGGAGCCTGGTTTTACCAACCTGTTTCTTTCCAAGAGTCTTTTCTTCTTACAGCTGTGTGAGAGCTGTTACTTTCTTGTGTCACTCAGCAGCAATGTTACAGGCAGAAGACCAAAGTGATGCATGAGATTAGTTCAAAAAAAAGGGCAAGCATAACAAAATGTCATTGTCAAGCAAGATCCAAGAAAGAAGTGGGATTTGTACATAATTGTGGCTAGTGGTGTCGTAACTTGTGGATTTGAAAGGGGAGTTAGAGCTCTGATACAGGAACTAAGTCAGTCTCCACATTCTTGTTTATTGTCTTTAGTTTTTATCTTCTACGTTTTTGTTCTGTAAAGATTAAATTATACCAGTGTTTGGCTTAAAARCTTGGTGGACTTAGGTTTGATATTAGAAGCACGTAAAAAAAATGGTACCCTATAGCTGCATCTATGACAGAAGGTTTGTCATTCATGACCGAAATAGGTGTTTTTGACAGCTGAATTCATTCTGTTGTCAGACAAGTGTTCAAAATTACATGGACAAGATGAGTCTTCTGACTCTAAATGTGCAGTACCCTTCGGTACTTTCTGTCTCTCTAGGGTTTTAAGCATTGCTTGTCTGACTGATCACATGTCTGCCAGAAAAAATGCTGGCTGGTGTGGGCAAGACACAATGCTTTCAGGCAGTATTGCTGTAAATTAAACTATTTAAAACGTGAGAGAGGGAAAGAAACAGCCTTCTTCCCAATACAATACAGATTTTATAGCTGTRTAGTGCTTGTGCGGCACTGGAACATGGCTGGGAGTAGATCAGTCCTGATTCACTCATGARCTCAGTCTGGTCTGATATCATTACTTCTGTTATCAAAAGAAATTTTCTAGCAGACTTTCTGCAATCTGTCAGAGACTTCTTTGTATATGAAGTGGTGTGTGTAAATATAATTTTAAAGGCTGATTTGCCTTTTTTGTAGGTGTCCCTGTCATCCAACTTTTCAGCGTGTTGTGTGTACTGGAACCCCACTTCCACTATGGAGAAGGAAAGTTATGTTGAAAGTGTGCTGCGGAAGAGTGCTCCACGTATACGGTACTGCTGTGGGATAGACAGGCTGCTTCCAGAGCCATTTAAGTGCCATTTCTTAAGTATTTCTGACAATCTAGAGCTGACCTATTGGGATGCTTCAGGTTTTTAGATACTGGGCGTAGAGAATGTCCTGTGATGAGCCTCGCAGGAAAGGGTGGCTGTGTCAGGCCAGCTGTGGGATCTTTTCCTGGAGCATGGCTGGTTTTGTTGGCTTCTGGCTTTCCCAGGGCTGAGCACAAGGCAAGAGGAGTGTGGGTGTGGTTTCCGTTATTCTGGTGGTGGTGGCTGGGCAGGTTGTGTGGGACAGTAGACCAGAATGGGGTGCTGTACAAAGGACTGGCAACTGCAAGTATCTCCTTGCAGATTCACTGGAAAATTCTGATCGCTAGGGATGATTTGGGCCTCCAGAAAGGATGACTACTATTACACAAATTCTTCACAATACTGATTAAAAAAAAATTAAATCAGAATACAACCATGTATTGTGATGCTTTTGTCCATTTTTCCAAGAGTCCAGTGAGTTTTCAGGGTATCATTGAGATTTTTGTCTCTTTCTCTCTTTCCCTGGCTTTGCCTCTGCTATCCAGCCAGTCTGTTGGAAGTTCAGGACTCCACCCATGGGGCATACTTGTAAAGCCATTTCCTTTCCCCCTGTTTCCCTAAGCTATGTAATTCCTGCTCCAGCATCATGCTCTTCTAGTCCACAGCTTCTGCTCTTTGAGAAGGGAAGTTGAGGGCTGAGAAGAAGACAAGGGGAGCCCTGTCAGTTCTTCCTGCAGGTAGCATGTAGGATAAGTTGTCTCACCCTGCTCCGAGAGCTCTATCCCCGCTGCTCTTATCTCTATAGTGGGGATAAAGATACCAAATGAAGTGGGGAAAGAGCTGTGCCAGTGTATGCATATAGACACAGGCAAACCTAATACCATCAATACTCAGTTGGATTTGCAGCCAGTAGTTTTTGTATGCTATGCATTTGAAGTTGGGGTTCTGCAGTGATGTATTGCTTATCATTAGCTCCCCATCAGCCTGTAGGTTTTGCAAGCCATACCTGGAAGTGTACGATACTGCTGGATTTAATTTAACATTTTTTTTTCTTGTCCTGGAGATGCTATACTGATACTCATGCTGTTGAATGCTGTATTTTTGCCAGGTATCTTCTGAAGAGTCAGCAGATTGTAGGAAATGCACCCCCAGTAGTATTTATAAAAGACAAAGAAGCTGCAGCTGTAAAAGAGGTAAYTCTAATCTTTGACTCAATGTACAAATGTGGTGACTTTTTGAGAGAGCTGGTCATTTAGTTGCTCTAACAATTTACTGATAAAAAATCACTCTTTCTCTATAGTTGCAAAGCATTTTCACAAACAATCTTGAGTAAGCTTGATGTCWGTATAATATGTAAAAAAACTGTAGRCTGTATCATTAGGCCAAAGAAGAAATTCTAAAAAAGTAAGTTACCATTTTAAGGAATAATACAGGGTTGCCTGGTGTACAYGATTATAGAAATCAGGGTGGAGGAGCTGTCTTCCACATTTTAAATSTTATGTGTTTTTAAGATTCAATTGAATAACCAGTGATTTTTTTTCCCATATCTTTTTCCATCTGTGAATTGTTAAAATGTTTCTAGGAAAGTGCAGATCTTTCCATAGGGAATGTAAGCTTACTCATACTAYATTTTCCCCCTTTACTTTAAAATTGTCTTTACTACTTCATGTTTCCTGTCAAGGTGTTGATGGTTTTAACTAGTTGACGTATTACTAGAATAATGATGTTTCCTAGGAATTTGCTGTCACTGGCACTGTGAAGCAAAATCTCTGAAACAGTGAGATTTCCAGAARAGAAAGATGACACCAATGAGTAGAATTTAATGAGAAATGTCTTGTCAAGCTGTTGATATGAACAGTAATTGAAAATAGCATGTTCATGTTTCTGTGCCCTGAAATGCCTTATTATTTATAGTAGTGTTACTGTTACAGCCAAGTACTTTTAAAGACTTCTGGGTTCCTGCAATGTGGAAGGGATAAAAAGAATTTCACATTCTCTAGAAATGCGGTGAACTGCTTGAATTTTCCGTGGTCAGAAATMATCTGAATTTCAAAGAAGACAAGTAAAAACCCTCCTTGTATCATTTCTGTTAGGGAATGACACTGGGGARCACTTAGATGCACCATTTTCTCCCACTTTGCAGTTCATCAGATCTGTGTCAACCACAGATTCAATTAATATAGTTGAACTTGATTTTAATAATGTAAGTCAGGGAAAAAACATCCAATTAAACTCCTAGAATAATATACTGAATTAGAAGGGAATTAATGTAAAGAAAAGCTAAAATAAAGATTTCAAATGAGAGTAAATTTTCACAATGATGTACAGTCTGTAAGCATTGGATATACTAGATTTGTAGCATTTACTGGTTATGTGCCATATTAAAGGGAAGYTGGGAATTCCTCTCTTACATGTAAGAGAAATGTATACTTGAAGAAAGGGAGAGGAGGTGAAAAAAATCTCATTGTAAGGATGTAATGAAAAAGAATTTGCAAGACTGAGGTAAGAACAAAGAAATAAAAAATTACATGTCAGACAATCCCTAGCTAAGGGTTCATAATGACATAAAGCAGAAAACTTTGTAGGAATCTCTGGATCCATTACACTATTTGACAAAAACATCCCAGGCAAGAAGTATAAGCAGTTCCATGAAAATTAAGGAAAAGGCTCTTTTGAAGTTRTTTTGCTAAATATTCCAGACATMARAGGAACATACTTGCTGTTAGATAGKTCTCTGTTTCTTGTGTAGATGTGAGCAAAGTAGATTTTATACAGGATCCTTAATATGTGTTGCTTTCATGTGTTTACAGGTCGAGGACTTACTGGCAATTGCTGATTTTGGACCTCCAGAAGAAGAAGAAATACCTCAAAATGAATCAAGGTGGGGCTTTTTGATTCAGAATTGTCTAAATATCCACTTTCATCTCTGTTGGCCWATTTAAATTGGGTATTATTTGACGTATGAGAAAGTGTATTTGAATTAGATGTRTACATTGTTGTTTGCAGACCTGATACTTTTTTTGGTGTTAATATCTTCTTTTTTATGAGGGAAATATATGTAAAATTTTTAAGATTTCAACACTTGATGTGTTTATGATAATCAAACCTAAAAAAAATTGCTCTGCAGCAGCCATATTTGTTTCTTGCTGGTAATTGTCTCACATGAGGATGAAAACTCTGCATTTACCAGTASGGTTCTGCTTCCACTTTTTTCTGGTATAAGTTTGGTTTGTTATACTGGATTGCTAATTTATTGACAAATCTCCCTAAGTTAATTTAACATTCTTCKGTGAGGAATTTTTGGCTACTGAGAGATAGGGCTGAACAACCTATTGGAACACTGGATGCACTCAAGGCAAGAGCCTTTGCACTTGTGTGCTGCAGTCCTGCAGGTAGAAATGTTTTGTGTGCCTCATCATCTCACAGGATGGTTCATCAAGTGCGAATCAGAAATACCTTCCTGTGGGAAGATGTTGCTAGGACACATTTCCCAAAGGGCACCTAACATCCTCCTCTGTGTCTTGGGGAAATAGTCAAGTCCAGCATAAGGTTTCACATCGTTCTGATGTGTTTTGGGCACAGGCTGCTGTTTCTCGCWTCTTGGAAGAGCTGGGAGAGCTCTTGAGTTCCTTGGGGCTCCCAGGTCCAGTTTCACCTATGGACACTTTTTCCCTAAGACAAGCAGTTTTATCTGGCATGTTGTTGCTTTWATGGCTTTCTCCCATTAAATCTGTTGACACAGAATTTCCTTGGATACATGATATGATGGTATCTCTTCTTTTGTAACATAGGGAACACGGGGCATTAATGAAGTCAGACTTCAGTATGTAAAGTCCAGTTTATTTCTGTGTTACTCTAGTTTCAAAAACAGCATTACTTATTGAAATATATGCAGGGAAAAAAAAACCCAAACCAATACTTGTTTTCTTTCCCACAGTAAACTATYCACTTCAACAACTCAATCTTCAGATTCACCCATGCGGCCTAATCTGTTTGGCATTGATCATGAACTGCTGAATAAACAGATAATGGACTATAAAAAAATGAAAGTGTCGAGACATATAGAAGGCATTGCCTGGACAGAGGAACAGGAGAAGCAGCTTTCTAAGATTCAAAAGAAAATGAAAAAAAAAAAACAAAGGAGTCCTCCTGACGATGATGACATTACACCCCAGAAACACTTATTGGACAGATACGAAGCTGATTACTGGGATGATAACCCTGGCTCAGKCTCAGACTACGAGCTGCAGGGTGAATTACAGGAAGAGGAGAACGAGTTGGATGCAGATAATGGCAAAACTTTAAATCAGTCTACTGATAAACCAAAATGAAGTGAAAAARCCATTCCTTTCAAAATGGAGGCTGCCAAAAGTAAAAAAAATGGAAAGACTGTCTTAGTTTCTGAAAGATTCATTTTTTATGGCCTGTTTACCACTTGCTCATTCAAACTAATAGATTTGCCACGTGAGGTTTGCTAACACAAAGTAAGTGAGAAAAACTGCCATTAGTGACATTCTATTAAGCAGCTTTCAAGTTGCTTCAGTTGAGGGATTTTTAAACCAGAGAGCAGTTTTGCAATAAAATACACCCATTGCAGCATTGAGTTAAAACTTCTTGCAGTTGTGTTGATTATTTCCAATAAAATTATGGTTTCTATATTGCAGTATTTTTTTTAAGTGACCTGGATAAAAATTATCACAAAGCGATGGTTTTTTATTCTGAGATTAGGATGGAAGAGGGAAGCAAAATAATGACAGTGGTGTTTAGACATCAGACACAAAATCAGGGTCTTTTCTAGAGTACCAGTCTAATGGGGGAACTATTTCTACAAGAAAGTAAAACTCATTGAAGTTATGGCCAATAATGTTATAACCCAGAAAGAAAATTAATTTATGGTTGTGCAAGGGAAACTGCAATCAGAAAGAAATGGAGAACTGCTCATCCATTGGGTAAAATCAGGCAAATCATTGACTGTGACTTAAAAATGTATTAAAAACTTGAAAAGCAGAAAAAGAGCAGCAGGGAAGAATGTCCCAGAAACTGATGTGAAAATTAATAGAGGATTACATAAAAAGTGAGAATAAAGTTTTCTGACTCAAAGCACATAAAAAAATAATAGTATGAGTGTGTAAAGTTAGAAGGCTGCAACTAGAAATTACAATGAACAAGGTAGTGAAAAGGAATTCTGTCAGAAATACAGAAAGTTTAATTCCAGTAGTTAATGGGAAAGTAAAGAAAGTCATCACAGGGGAGTTTGCACTACAATATAGCAGAAGCAGAGAATGGTTTGGGTTGGAAGAGACCTTAAAAATTATCTAGACCCAAGCCCCCTGCCATGGGCAGGGACACCTACACCAGGTTGCTCATCAGAGGCCCATCCAGCCTGATACTGAACACTTCTAGGGATGGGGCATTCTCCGGACAGTGTGTGCCAGTGCTTCACCATCCTGACAGAACAATTTCTTACTCATATCTAACCCCCCCTTTCCATTTAAAACTGTTATGCCTTGTCCTATTACTGCACTTAAAGAACACTGTAATCACCAGTCGTAATCAATGCAGATCCATAAAAAAGGAAGTCTGGTTTAAATAATTTAGTATCCCATAATAAGTTCACCTGCGTAACATACGAAGGAAATGTGGTGCATGTAGTTTTTCTGGGTTTTTGTAAGGCCTTTGGTACTGTACCTCACAGCATCCTTTGAGGCAAATTTTTCAGCTGTGGGATGAGTGGGTTCGTGGTGTGCTAGGTGAAGAACTGTCTGAAGGGCAGAGCTCCAGAGTTGCTGTGAACAGGGCCACGTCCGGCTGGTGACCAGTCCCCATGGTGTTCCTCAGGGATGAATCCTAGGGTGAGTTCTGTTCAGTGTATTTATCAGTGATCTGGGTGCAAGAGTTGAATGCACCATGAGCAAGTTTGCTGATGATACCAAACTGGGAAGTGCTGCTCCCTTGAGGGACAAGAGGCCTTGCAGATGGATCTGGGTAGCTTGGACCATCTGGGCAAACATCAGTGGCATGAAACTGAATAAGAATACATGCCAGATTCTGCACCGAGGAAGGAGTAATGGCAGGCACAAGTCTAAACTGGAAGAGGAGTGGTTGGAGAGCAGCCCTGCAGGAGGGGTCTGGGGGGTGCTGGCTGGCAGGAGTGATGCCTTAGGATTTTTAGCTTCTATATTTTCATGTGCCTGTATTCTCTAGTACAACACTAAAACTACCATTCTCCCATCTTTAGACAAAACAATCCCTCTCTGAGCCTGAATCCAAAGGCACCTCCCTGCCTCAGAGCCCTAAAATATGTAAACAACAGCGAGTTGGGGGGGAGCAAGTTTGTGGTGGTTGACATCATCACCTGAAAATATCATTGGGGGATTGAGACTAAATATTTTAATAAGATTGAACTTATAAAAGGTGAAGATCTCATGATTTGGGGTCTATTTTGGGTGTAGCCTAAGGAGGAGGCTTTTGTCTGCCCTAATGTAGCAGGGTGCTTGTTAGGCCTGTACTAAAGTTATCTATTCTCATTCTCCYAAGTTTGTCTGGCCTCTATTTCAGGTGAGCCTGATTGATAAGGCATCAGGAGGAGGCTCAACAGGAGCCAGCAGTGTGTGCCTGGGCAGCCCAGGGGGCAAACTGCAACCTGGAAAGCATCAAACACAGCCTCGCCTGCCACTCCAAAGGGGATTATCCTGCTGTGTTTGTCGTTGGTGTGGCCTCACCCTGAGAGTTTTGTGTGCTTCTGGGCCCCACAATTTCAAAAGGATGTGTCCCTGAATGCATCCAGAGGAACGCACCAAAGCTGTGGAAAGGACTGGCAGGGTGTCCTGTGAGGAGTGGCTCAGGACTCTGGGGTTTTCTTGTTTGGAGAGAAGGCTGAGGGACAAACTCACTGGTCTCTACAACTTTCTGAGGTGAGGAAGGGAAAAAGGTCCCTCTTTTCCTTGGGACCCAGTACCAGGTCATATGGGAGCTCAAAACTGTACCTGTCAGAAAAGTTTCAGAACCTCACAGGAGGAAACATTTCTTTGCCTAGAGAACAGGCTCCCAAGAGAGGTGGTCAATGCCCCAAGCCTGTCACAGAGTTTAAGAGATATTTGGATAATGCCCTTCATACCATGCTTTTTTTTTTGGTAGCGCTGAAGTAGTCAGGCAGTTGGACTCTGATTGTCCCTTCCAACTCAGCTCTTTGATTCAATTCGATTTGGTTCAATTTKATTTGATTTGATTTGTCTTTTGTTGCCTCTCCCTCCTTTCCCTACCACTACTTGCTGAGGAAATCTTTGATGACATTCCTTCCAGTGCTGGACTAGAAAAAGGGATGGAATGGGCAGTTGTGTCCCAGCCTGGGCATTGGCTCTTGTCACTTCGTGGGAAGGAGGCATGTACCTTCTGATGGGGGTGAGAGATGTGATCATCTCAAGAGTATCTGATCACCTCAGTGCATTTGTAAAAAGGATGTGGAAACTGTATTTTTTGAAAATCTTGTGTGTTTTAACCCAGTTTAGCTGGGCTTCCACAGGATCTCGAACTCCCACATCTCTGACACTGAGACCAAAGATCTGGGCTTAGATCAGTCACTCAGTCTGGAGCAGGAGGTGCTATAGAACTAAATGGTTACAAACTGTTTGATGTGAGCTGTATATGTTCATTTCCCTGTGGATTTTTTTTTCTCCTTGTACTCAGCTGTAGAAATGCCTGAGCCATTTCCCTTGGAAACACCTGTTAAAACACAAGATCCAGGGAACAACAGTACTACATCAGAGCTGAGGTCCATCTGGGGCAAAACTGTCTTCAAAGTAGCCAACCATCAATGTCTACAGGAGAGCACATAAGCAGTGTAAGTCGTCTCCCAGGATCCTGGCTGTACTTAGAGACTGCCCTCCACTCTTCCACCTTGCACTCCTGCCCAGGGCTCCAGGGCCATGTTCAAGCTCAGCCTGAGTGATGCTGTAGGAGTCTCTGCGCTTTCTTCTGGATGAGCCTGAGACGCTGCAGAGAGGTCTCTCCTGAATGGAACACTCACACTTGGGTCATAGCTTGTCATGCAGAACTCTGGGCATAACAATTCTATTCTATTCTATTCTATTCTATTCTATTCTATTCTATTCTATTCTATTCTATTCTATTCTATTCTATTCTATTCTATTCTATTCTAATTTCTATTCCATTCCATTCCATTCCATTCCTTTGCATTCTGTTCCATTCCGTTCCATTCCATTCCATTCCATTCCATTCCATTCCATTCCATTCCATTCCATTCCATTCCATTCCATTTGTTCCCTATGCTCACCATAAGTCAAATAACAATGAGAATGTCATTTGCCTAAAATACCAGGGCTTTTTCATCTTCAAAAACATGTTCAAGGACGGAAATCTGAAACATTACAAG